CAAAGCCAGAACAGCGAGACGGAGTGTCAGGGAACTGCCATCGGAAGGAAGGGAGGTGGGAGGGCTCACACAGGTTGGGAGAGACTCAGCAGCGGAAGAGGGAACCAGCAGGGGGAGAAGAGGTGATCCGAGGGAAAGTGAGCAGGAGGGATGGCTCAGGGAGACTTCCAGCGAGGGTAGTGGGGAGGTTTCAGGACCTCCTGTAGGGACACCCACCCCTCGCCGGAAACTGTCACGCAGAGAGTCCAGAAGACGTGTTTCCGTTAAGGAGCTTTTATGTTGGAAGAGATTTCGAAAGCAACCACTTTCGGAATCTGCCAGCGACTGACGGAGCCATGCTTAAGGGGCTCCGTTACAGACAGAGGTTTGCGGACTTGAGCAAACTCTGAGGGATTTGGATTTTACGCACAAGCAGCTCATCATCCCATCACACGGAGCACTGCGGAGCGCTCCGTCTTGCTGTTCTAGCTTGGGGGTGGCTGCGCAAAGCCTCCGCAGGGTGCCTGCACCCCGCTGCCGTGTGGAGGCTCCAAAGGCTGTCCCTGAAGCCTTTGGAGTGCAGCGGGAACTTGCGCTGCGCTCCAAAGGCTTCAGGGGTCTTTGAGGCTGGCGGTGGGGGAAAGCAGCGCTTCCCCCCACCGCCAGCCCCACAAGCTCGGGGGGCAACGGGAAGGCGCCGTACCGCCTTTGCACTGCTCCCCGACCTGGTCTTTGAGGCTGGCAGTGGGCTTTGGGTTACCTTCACTGAAGCCTGGAGAGCGAGAGGGGTCAGTGCGCACCGACCCCTCTTGCTCTCCAGGCTTCCAAGGTAGCCGCCTGAAGCCTCCAGAGTGCAGTGGGAACTCCCACTGCGCTCCGGAGGCTTTGGGTGAATGCACCTTGAACGCACCTTGTTTTAGAGGAGGAGAACAAGAAAAAAAAATTTTTCCCTGTTCTCCCCCGGTGCGTCCTATAGAGCGAAAATACTGTCTTTCAGCATTGGTTCAGTGCCAACAGCATGTGCGCCAAACATAGAAATGGCTTTGTTTATGCCCAGGTGACTTAAATAATGACTTAGATGGGTGCCAGTGATATTGGGCTGCAGCTCTCATCATTCCTGACTGCTCGCTATGCTGGTGGGAGCTGGCACCTCGTACTTGTTCTGTGCCCCTTCCCTCTCCTTCCTTCGTGAGCGAGAGAATCATAGAATCATAGAGTTGGAAGAGACCACAAGGGCCATCGAGTCCAACCCCCTGCCAAGCAGGAAACACCATCAGAGCACTCCTGACCTATGGTTGTCAAGCCTCTGCTTAAAGACCTCCAAAGAAGGAGACTCCACCACACTCCTTGGCAGCAAATTCCACTGTCGAACAGCTCTTACTGTCAGGAAGTTCTTCCTAATGTTTAGGTGGAATCTTCTTTCTTGTAGTTTGGATCCATTGCTCCGTGTCCGCTTCTCTAGAGCAGCAGAAAACAACCTTTCTTCCCTCCTCTATGTGACATCCTTTTATATATTTGAACATGGCTATCGTATCACCCCTTAACCTCCTCTTCTCCAGGCTAAACATGCCCAGCAAGGGTTGTGAAAACTTCTGGTTCCACTTCTGACGAAAACCACAGCTTTCTGCTATGTATGAACTCGGGAACTGTGATTTAGTGGGAGGAAACAAACCCAAGATACCATCTTACGGTTTGATTACCCTAGTTTGTTTTCACTAACTCGAATTAGCATGGATTTCAGTTCCCCAAGTTTGCACTTGAAAGGGAAACTCTCCTCCTCTTGAGGAGACAGATGGAGAAGAGGTGCGGTTCATTCACTGACACGGAAGCCATGCTTTAGGTCAGCTGAGGGCTGATGGGAGTTGTAGTCCAAAACAACTGGAGGGCATCAGGATGGCGAAGGTTGGCACAGAGCTTTGCCGCCTCAACCAGTTGGCCTTTAATGGTGTCACAGGATTTACTTAAAAAAATAAAATAAATAGCTCATATATTTATATCCCTCTTAACAATTACAAAGTCTCTAAGCTGCTTACAAAAAACAAATGCAATATAGCAAATATAAAATCTGTACAATTTTTATGTACAGTGGTACCTCTAGTTACGGACTTGATCGGTTCCGGGGTGCCGTTTGCACTCCAAAAGTCTGTAACTAGAGTGCCGCTTCTGCGCACACATGCGGCGCGATAGAGCGCTTCTGTGCATGTGCAAAGTATGCAGAACGCTTCTGCGCACGCATGCGCGGCGAAACCTGGAAGTGTACACTTCTGGGTATGCTGCGTTTGCAAGCTGAAAAGACGCATGAACCCAACTTAACACGAGGTATGACTGTACTGTACAAAATAATTTTTTTCCTTGCAAAATTACAGTGGTACCTTGTGATGCGAACGGGATCTGTTCCGGAGCCCCGTTCGCATCCAGAAGCAAACGTAACCAGCGACGGCACGTCTGTGCGCACACGCGTCGCTTTTCGCCGCTTCTGTTCATGCACGTGACGTCACTTTGAGGTCTGCGCATGCACGGGAGGCGAAGCCCAGAAGTAACGTGCTCCGTTACTTCCGGGTTGCCGCGGAGCGCAACTCGAACGCGCTCAACATGAAGCGTATTCAACCCGAGGTATGACTGTATCCCTAAACAATTATTTAAAAAAAACACTAATTTTATTTTTTAGAATATTTGTTCTCCCTGCTCCCCTAAATTCTATAGTACCTGTCAATTTAGGAATGTTGTGTTTTCTTTTAAAAAATGGAATCTATGAGGCCGGCACCATCATTTGGCATCCTTGACAAGCTGATGAAGTCTCTGGTCCCCACTGATGCTTTCCCTGAGTTTTCTATTGGTATTATTTTATTATTATCTGGTGTCATGAGCAGCAATGGACAGCCTTGGTCTAGCCACCATTAAACTTCCCGCAGTGCCCTTGGCATAGCTGTGTCTGCCTATCGCCAAGTAAGCCTGACACTTGTCTGCCGGCGAAGCTGGGAGCTCATCAAAGGACATTTTGCCTCTTGAGAATGTGAATTTCCGCAAGCCTCTCCCGAGCTTTCCCCCCCCCCCCCCCGCAAACGTCCCCATTGTCGCTGACAGCTCTCTGCCGCCCCCTGCAGGACTACGAAGGCCTGGACCTGGAGATGCTGGCCCCGTACATCTCGATGGACGACGATTTCCAGCTCAGCAGCACCGACCACCCGCCCTGGCTGGCCGAGAAACGGGGCGGCGTCCCAGGGCCGGGGACCCGGCCAACCTCGCCGCCCCCGCGGCCTCGCTCCAGAAGCTTCCACGGAGTCTCCCCCCGCCCGCCCGAGCAGACCACTCTCCCCCGCTGGGGCAGCGACACCAGCCTGAGCCACCCCCGCCCTGCCCAGCCCCCAGGGAGCCCCCCATGCGGGGCAGAGCAAGTGGTGGAGATGGTGGCGTCCGTCAAGATCCAGGCCGTGCAGGATGGGAGCGGTCAAATGGCCAGGCGGCCTCCGTGGGTGGGAGGAAGAGGTAAGGCAGGGGTCAGCAAACGTTTTCAGCAGGGGGCCGGTCCACTGTCCCTCAGACCTTGTGGGGGGCCGGACTATATTTTTTTGGGGGGGGGAGTGAACGAATTCCTATGCCCCACAAATAACCCAGAGATGCATTTTAAATAAAAGCGCACATTCTACTCATGTAAAAACACGCTGATTCCCAGACCATCCGTGGACCAGATTTAGAAGGCGATTGGGCCAGATCCGGCCCCTGGGCCTTAGTTTGCCTACCTATGAAGTAAGGGGAGGGTTGGCTTTTATATAGCAATTTTTAAATAAAAGGTGATATGCCCCCCCCAGGGCGGCTTGCAAGTGAAATGGTAAATTGGGAGCAGAAATAATAAAGCCAACACCCTTACTCCACTCTCAGAACTAGAGTTCACTATGAAGAGAGGTTGATCGTTAAACCACTTTGACAACTTTCCGCGTCCCCCCCCCTTCTTTTAAAAAAATCTTTTTTAGTTTATTAAGAGAATTTCATTTATGAAAAGATGGGGGGGGGGAGAAAGAAAAAAATGAGAATGAAAGAAAAAATACATTACCATGTGTAAATATACAGATGTGTATATTCATATCATTCTAATGCACACATAATTGTTGGTAACCTAATATATTCTGCGTAAACTCAATCCAAATGGGATTTCCCGCATCCTTAACAAACTACAGCTCCCAGAATTCTTTGGGGGAAAGCCATGCCTGTTTAGGAGTGGTGTCATCGTGCTTTAAATGTAGCCTCAGTTTCTGGCAGTGTTTTAGCATTAATACTTAACTGACCACCTCGTTTGTACATAATTTAAAAATTAAGTAAAAAGGGGGGGGGAGGATGTTGGATTATAGTTTTAAAGTCCTGTTCTTTGTGCCCGCGCTACATCCTATTTTTATCTGTGAGCCACCTTGAGTTCCGCCAGGGAAAAAGGTGGGGTTGTTGTTTAGTCATTTAGTCGTGTCCGACTCTTGGTGACCCCCTGGACCAGAGCACGCCAGGCACTCCTGTCTTCCACTGCCTCCCGCAGTTTGGTCAAACTCATGCTGGTAGCTTCAAGAACACTGTCCAACCATCTCGTCCTCTGCCGTCCCCTTCTCCTTGTGCCCTCCATCTTTCCCAACATCAGGGTCTTTTCCATCCTGGAGAGCGAAGTCAAATGGGCCTTAGAAAGCACTGCTAATAACAAGGCCAGTGGAAGTGATGGTATTCCAGCTGAACTATTTAAAATTTTAAAAGATGATGCTGTTAAGTTGCTACACTCAATATGCCAGCAAGTTTGGAAAACTCAGCAATGGCCAGAGGATTGGAGAAGATCAGTCTACATCCCAATCCCAAAGAAGGGCAGTGCCAAAAAATGCTCCAACTACCGCACAATTGCAATCATTTCACACGCTAGCAAGGTTATGATTAAAATTCTACAAGGGGGAAAGGTGGGGTATGAATGAATAAACACATAGGTAACATTGTCTGGGCATCATCTCATATCATCTTCTTTCTCCCACCTCCTTCCGCCGTTCACCCAACAGGGCCCGGGAGCTGAGCGTGGAGGAAGAGAGAGATGTCTTCCTGGAGGCAGGGCTCCCTAAGCGCACCCGTGGCCTGGAGCCCGATGGCTTCCTGATGCCCTCCCTTAGCCTGGTAGGTGCTGAAATTACCCGTCCATAGGAGGGAGGGACGCCTCTTCCAATCCATTTCTGCCAAAGCTCCCTCCTGCCCAGATCACAGGAGGCTCCCTTGCGAGGAATCTCTTTCCTTTCTGTGGCTGGGTGGCAGGGCGTATGCTTGGCATGCAGAAGGTGCTTGGTTCAACCCCTGGCCTCTGCAGGTGGGGCCGGGAGAGATCCACTGCCTGAAACCCCGGAAGAGTCACTTTTGACGTTGTCCATTAGGTGTTAAAAGGTAAAGGGACCCCTGACCATTAGGTCCAGTCGTGGCCGACTTTGGGGTTGCGGCGCTCATCTCACTTTATTGGCCGAGGGAGCCGGCGTACAGCTTCCGGGTCATTTGGCCAGCATGACTAAGCCACTTCTGGCGAACCAGAGCAGCGCACGGAAACACCGTTTACCTTCCTCCTGGAGTGGTACCTATTTATCTACTTGCACTTTGACGTGCTTTCAAGCTGCTAGGTTGGCAGGAGCAGGGACCAAGCAACGGGAGCTCACCCCGTCGCGGGGATTCGAACCGCCAACCTTCCGATCGGCAAGTCCTAGGCTCTGTGGTTTAACCCACAGCGCCACCCGCGTCCCCTCCATTAGGTGTTACGGCAGGGTTAAATCCTGTGTTGGCTGCAGGCCTCTGGTCCCAGCAGTGAACGGCAGCGCGCAGTCAGACCGAGCAGGATTTGACCCTCGTTTATCAGCTGTATAGGATCCTTTGTTAAGTAGATGGGGTTGGGAAAATACTCCCTTTGTGCATGCAATTCTGAGACACACTCCTCTCAAAATCAGGGGTGCATCAGAACCTCCAGCTGAAACAGAGGATTTTTACACCACTGATTCAGCAAGGGGATTCATGGACCCCTCTGTGAAAGTTGGGGGAGGAACCGTTCCTTTTCAAGGTGCTTTGAAGACCCAACTCTGGGATTTCAAAGCACTTTTTACACGATGCCACGGTAACACCATGTGGTCGGCAGGCGGACGGCCGACCCAGATGGAGCAGTGGCCTGGCTTGACCTAAGCTTCCTGTGCCCCCCTCCCCCAGGGTTTCCTGCTGAGTGTGGAAGAATGTTTGGATGCCAGGTCCGAGCGGGGTTTCGGGGCAGTGTGTCCCTGGGCAAGAAGCTTCTGTCGCTGGAGGAGCCGATGGGTGAGTATTGTGTAGTTCTGATGGGGTGAAGCAATAAAATATTTGAGGGGGCCGGGCTCTCCCAAAGTTGACGGGCACTGCCATTCAAATGATGGGCGCACGCCACATCCTGCAGTCGATTATGTGGGTGGCGCTTACTTGGGCCCCCCAATATGTATGTCCCACAGAGGAACTTACAATCTTCAAATAAAAACATCCTGAAGGTCCCGGGCCACAGAGAGGTTAGGTTGGCCTCAACCAGAGGCAGGGCTTTTTCGGCTGTGGCCCCGATCTGGTGGAACGCTCTGTCACAAGAGACTAGAGCCCTGCGGGACTTGACATCTTTCCGCAGGGCCTGCAAGACAGAGCTGTTCCACCAGGCCTTTGGTCAGGGCACAGCCTGACTCCCTCCTTTGGCAATCTTCACAGAACTTTAGCCTAACGGTTGCCATCAATTTGAGTTGAATTAATTTTATAATGAAATGATTTTAGAATGTTGTACTATTTTATTGTTGTTAGCCGCCCTGAGCCCGGCTTCGGCTGGGGAGGGCGGGATATAAATAAAATTTATTATTATTATTATTATTTCATTCAAGTCAGCACCCCAATACCTTCTGAAGACCCCATCTTTTTTAAAAAAACAGCAATGGGTTGTATCATCACTAGGATTTCCGCTTGCACATCGTGGCTTTCTCTCTTCTCCTCCCCCCTCATGCCCCCCTAAATCTGTTCTTGGGGTTCCTCCAACCCTCCAGAGCAGATTTGGGAAGGGGAGAGGAGTTTGGTGACCGGATACCCTTGCGCTGAGGGGGGCGCGTGGGCTGGGTGCCTCCCAAACAGACAAAAATCGCTCTCTTGACTCCTGGCCTTTTCTCTCTCCCCGCCTGGGTCTCCCTCCTTTCTCTCTAGGCCTCCTGGGGGACATGTTGCCATTTGTGGTGGACGGACCAGCCCTCTCTCAGCTGGCCCTGTTTGACGGCGAGGACGAGGCCTCCGTGCAGAGCGGGCAGCATTTCCAGCTGGGGGAGGAGCTGCTGGTGGAACTGGACCAGGCCACCTGAGGTGGTGGCCCCCTCTGCTGCTGCCGCCGCCGCAAAACCTTCACGCCACACTCCTTCTCCGCAGATGGGACGAAAGCAGAACCAAACCCCACCCAAAATCACCCATGAGAGGCAGAGGAGGGGAGGGGGCCCTCCTTTCCCTCCCCTCCTCCTCTTCCAACCGCCCCACCCCACCCAAACGCCCTCCTCTCTCTCTCTCTCTTTACCTCCTCCCACCCCCAAATCTCCGCCGGCGTCCTTTGAACTCTTCCTACCTCAGTCCTGTCCTCATCGGGCAGCCTCTCCCCTCCGGAGATGGCGAGGGAGAAAGGCTTAGCCTAATTTAGGAGCCTGCGTTCATAGGGACTGTCCCACCCCCCCACTACAAACCAGCTCCCCCTCCCCAAATATTGGTGCTTATGTATCCTCTTTTCCTGAGATGGGAAGCAGAAGTGGGGTGGAAGGAAAGGAGTTGGGGGGCCCATATTCACGCGGGAAGACTCCGTTCTGTCAAATCCCCCAAATTGAGAGGAGAGTCGGGGCGAAGGGATGGTCAGGGGTTGGAGACGGGGGTGTCGCTCTCCCCTGAGAAATGAGGGAGGCAGGGCGACGCCTGAATGGGAAGGAAGCCGCCCCTCCGCTGTGACCCTCCTGCTGGCTTCCATCACGAGTTCACCCATTCCAGAAGGAACTGGGACCACCCAGGAGGCAAACTTTAGGGTTGGGCGGCACTGGGCTTGGTCTTGCACCGCCAAGACTTAGGGAGGGAGAGGCTGAATCACTGTTCTTGCCTCTCTGACGTCCCAGAATCCTTCAGGGGAGCCTCTTTGGCGACAGCGCCATACTCATTTACCTCCCCATAGCTCTTGCCTTGTGAATGAGATCCGGGAGCACTTCTGGGGAAGAAAGTTTTGGGTGTTATTCAAGCACCCCTGGCCCCCTTGTTCCCAGTCGTCCGGACTGGTTTTTTCCCCCGGAAGTGGCCCAAAACTTAAAAGAGATGGAAATGGATTTCTCCCAGAGGAGAGGAAGGGAACCACGGTGCTCTGGCCGAATTTTTTGACCCGCTTTTACGGTCTGTTTACGCTTATAAAAAGAGGCCGAAATGTTTCTGGTGGTCAAGCGACCACAAGTTTTAAAAGGTCTAAAAACGTATTGTACAGGGAGCAGAGAAATATTTTCTTCTTAAAAACAAACAAAAAACCTTTTTTTTTTTTCAAAAAAGAGATGGGATTCTATATCTTGCTCCTGCCTCACCAGATATATTTCTAATTTTTAATAAGTCCTTCCTCCTCCCCCCCCCCCCGCACTTTGTCACTACCTAGGGGTGGTTGGGTTGCTTTTTTGGGTGGGGGGAAGTTTCTTGAATCCTAAAAATGGGTGAGATATGTGCAGGCCACTCCCCTCCCCATCCCCCACCCCACTCTCACAAACCTTGGCACCGAAAAAGGTAGGTTTTTAACCTCACAATAGCCACAGGTAGCTGGGCAGTGGATGGTTGATTTCGAAATTCTAAAAGGAAAGTTTAAGGAGCCTAGATGTTGCTTTCACAATCTTGAAACTTTTAAAGACAATCTTTAGAAAGTTCCTCAATTTGAAATGGGGTGGGGAGGCTGACCTATTTTTTAAAAAATTAGGATTGGGAACTCGCCACAAAGATCACACTGGCTCTTAAACAAAGTAAATTTGAACTGCAATCAGCCTAAATATAGGTTGCCAGGAAATGGCATTTTTTGCCAATAAGTTCTACTTAAAACAGGGTGGAAAAAGGACATTTGAAAGAGGAAACCTCCCTCTTTCTCGTGTTTTTTTGCCCCTGATCCTGAACGCGTTTACACGTTGAGACTTAACTTCTGAGTAGCTGTGTACAGGACTGAGATTCCACCCTTCACTCTCGCTTTTTTAAAAAAACAGCCTGATCTTGCACGTTTACTCAGAAGTAAGCCCCCATGGTGCTCACTGGGCTTACTTTGCTTCTGGGTTAGCATGCCTAGGATTGTAGCTTAGTTGCATCATGCGCTGTCAGCATGGAAAGGTTGGTCATTCTTGGCTGCTGCGAAAATAAAATAAGGCAGAAGTTTTGTGGTAAGACTCGCAAAACCCCGTGACTTGAAGCGACGCAAACGCTCGCATTCGCCACCAATTTTCCCTGTTTTCGCGCTTAAAAATGAGCTACTTTTCCATTCTGCCCAAAGAGGAAGAGTTCTGCGTAACTCGAAACCTTGCATAATTCCTGCACTAGCAAACGTCGCCTAAGATTGAATTGCCTTACCTCTTTTATACCCTTTTGGTATAAAAGGCCACCGTAGTGTTAGCTGGCGCTCATAGTAGGGTTGCTCTACATTTTAGGAGGGATGGGGCTTCCTCTGCCTCTTTAATTATTACCCAGAAAAGAGAATATTGGCAGGTGCAGCTTCTTCAACCCTTGACCGGTTGGGGAAGCCTCACTAGCTGGGATTCCCCCCATCGACACCATTCTTAAAATCACAGGAACCCTTTTCCCACAGGAATGCTGGCGGCCGCCTAGTTGAAAGCCCGTGTGGTGGGAAAATTTTCCCAGTAGTCTCCAATTTAAAAACAAAAAACCTCTTTTCTCTTTTCCTTCTTTCTTTCTTTTTTCTTTTAAAATCCCCCTGGCAATTCAGTTGCTTAGCCCTTGACGCCGTTACTTTAACCACAACTTTTAGGAGTTTTGTGTCTGTTTTTTTTTTTTTTAATTGGGTTTTAGACCCGGTCCCAAGCCAGGCTTAATCACTGCAGCTCACTTCCCCGTCCCTGCAGTCCAGAGCCCTCGGATGTGAAAACAGGAGCGTAGGAGACCGTTCAAGTCAGTGTTTCGCACGGCCGTCTGTGTCTGTACGTGTGTGTTTGTGTATGCCAGCCTGGCTCACAGCCTGACTCAGCTGAGGGCGTAGCAGTTTTCCAGGGAGAGAGCCGCTCTCTCGACACCCCCACCCCCCAAAAAGCTTTCCCTTCTCTTTCTGCTGCATGCCTCATTCCTTCAAGATCCCAGAGCAAATCCTGGGAGCACACTCAGAGGTAGGAGTGGGCTGGAGGCCTACAGCAGGGGTCAGCAACCTAAGGTCCGTGGGCCACAAGCAGGCCCACGGGGATCATTTAACTGGCCCACGAACCGAGCCGCCCGCTCGGCGAGTCCCCGCGTGCTGCGCTAAACTGGCACACCACATAGACTTGCTTTCACGGCGCTGGAAATCACGTCTGCTCATGCACAGACGCCGGAAATCGCGTCTGCGCAGATGCAGATACTGAAAATTGCGGGCGCGATCCAGCCCATGGAGGGATCTCCGCTGGAGTAAACCAGCCCAGGCAAGGTAAACTTTGCCGACCCCTGCCCTACAGAGAGGGAAAGGAGATTTGGGACATAGCGGGTCCCCTGGGGTCAGCCTCTGCATGCAGATCTTTCACTGACCCACCCCAAGAAGAGGCGGAGGGGTAGGGGTTAATTCAGAAAGTTTGATTTAGACAGAGAAACTGGCAAGTATTTGGCAGGGGCCCCTGCTTCCACCCCACTGGGTTGCAAGAACGCCTGCGATGCCAGGATCGGGACCCTTGTCACCGAGGCGGGTGGGGAGTCAAAAGAGTGCTCTCTCTCTCTCTCTTTCTCTCTCTTTTTCTTTTCTTGACGAGCCGCATTGAGAATTGCAGTCTGAGCGGGACGAATAGCTGCCCTTGAAACCACTTTTGCCTCGTCCGCCATTCACCTGTGCCTTCTCGTTACACCAGCACCAAAAAAAAGAGCGAGCGTTCGATACGTAGATAAACACACACATCATACGGGGGTGGGGAGAGGGAAGAAACAAAACACGCAACCCTCTCCGATATCTTCCGCGTTGGTGAGGGCAACCGTGAGTGGCACGGGGAGAATGGGGGGTGGGGGGAAACGGGCTGCCGTTTTCCTCGGGTCTGCCCCCCACCCCTGCCCCCCCGAGCAAGGGGAAAGAGGCGATTGGGGAGGAAACCGCCCCCTACACAACTGCCTCCCTGTTCCGAAACACCCCTTCTTCTCCCTGCGTACAAACCGCACGCCAACTTCCAAGCAGGGAGGTTGGCGTGGCAGTGGCAGGAGTGGAGATCTGGGTAGGAGTTGCAGACGCAAGGCATTGAGATCTAACAACGCAGACTGTTCAATTTCATTGCGAGCAAAACGCACACACAGAGACACACACGCACACGTATATACATAGATATCGCATATACACACACGTGTAGAGAGACACAAAACGCACCGATACCTGCACACAAGCATGCGCAATCTCACAACGACGGGCCGCGTTTGGCCCAGGCAGCTCTTTTCTCCGAAAGCCGCAGTTGACCACACGCACAGAACAATAGAATTCCCAAGCCGGGTGAAGAACACAGGATGTTGCGTCTATCTTTTCTCCTTTTAATTATTGCGATGGTTCTAATTGTTGTTCTTCTGATTCCTGACCCGTCGTCGTTTTCCCCTCCCTCCCTTAACCTGTTTTCGTTGTGTTCCTTTTTTCCAAGAGACTTTGGTGAAATGACTATGGCACCACCCTTTTTATTATGATTAATGTCGTCGTTCTGGTAGGGTTGTAGCTGTTTTTTTTAATTTCCTCGTCCGCCCCCAAAGCCTGGCGCTGCGCCCTCTGCCCCCTCCTTTGAATTTTAACAAGTCCTGCTACTTTTGTAGAGGGAAGGGGGGGAAAAAGAAAGGGGGGCAAGAGGGGTTGTGTCTCTTTCGTTCCTGTGACCAGCACTCGTTCCACAAAACCTCAATCCCCAATCCGCTGTCGTTTTCCTACAGGGCGGCTTCTCTCGCCCACTCAGTGGCATTCCTGGCGCGGCAGACCCGGTCCACCCCCTTCTTCCCCCGGGGACGTGCCATGCCGACCACGCATGAGGTGCTAAACTATACGCGCAAAAGCTGTGACGTCCCGTCCCCGGCGTCGGTTCTTTGAAGGCCACGCTGTGGCCGTGGTGCTCTCTCTTCACGCCTCCCTTCCACCTGCGATGGCTGCAAGCCCGGCTCCTCCGCCCTCACTCAGCTCTCTGACCTCGTATTGGCAACGGGTAGCCATACCCAATTGCCGTGGTGCTCAGCTCACTTCCTTGTCCCTCCGTCTGTGTCTCACGCACGCACACTCAAGGGGGTTTCACCAGGCAGCTGCCAGCCAAAGAGCCGGCGAGGCTTTAAAGCCCGCGCAGAAGGCAGAATTTCGGCAGGTCGCCAGGGACGTGCCTGCAGGTTGCAGCACGGGGAAACTGCATGCAGGAGGAAGCTGCCAGCCAGTGTTGGTAACACTAGGGCAGCTTCGTATGATGCCCTGTAACTCAACTGCGATTGCAGGGCCGGGACAGGACGAGGCGGCTCGTGCTCGAATTCTGCCTTCTGTGTAACTCAACGCCACCAGCGCCTTTTCAGGGTCCAGTCCTGGCCACCCCTCAGCCAGGAAGTGTGTGCTCTCGCCGAACCGTCCATCGCTGCCGCCGTGCAGCCCGATGAAGGCGACCCCGTACCCAAAGACCGCCACGCCCTGTCTCCAGCGGCAGCTGCAGAACCGCTGGAGAGGCCCCGGTGCTCCACCCCTCCGCTTCGCGGAAGGGGCGGCTGGGCCGCTCAGAGGTTGTGGCCCCCTTCCCTCCCTCCCTGTAACTGTTGCGCTGGTTACCGGGCCGCACAGCGGCGCCCTCCCCGTGGCCAGTCGTGGTGTGCGTGGGCCCAGCCATCTTGCCGGGAAACCCTCGAAGGAGAACCCGCCGCGTTTTACCGCGAAATGCACACTTCTGCAAGAGACACAACCGCCTCCCCTCCCCTTGCTTACACACGCACATTGCTCCCTGCCCCAGCGTTTGTCATGGCCGGCCAGCACGGAATGGAAAATTCAGTGGCGTTCAAACTGTCTCCTGAGGAACCGCCTTCTGAAAGGCCCCTCAAGAGAGACCTAATAAGAGGACAAGCCGTCCTGAAAGGAAATCTGCCTTCCAGTACTGACCGCACCCTGCACCAAGGAGCGCATAGCGCGCCTCTTCTAAGGCACACTTGGTTCAGCTTCGGCGATAACGAGGCCCACGAGTTCTGATCGGGGCTGTGCGTGGCATTGATCGCGTGCCTTGGGACGTAGAACCAGAATCATGGGCAACGTGGAGAGAATTCCCTGAAGGAAGAGAGCTTTCGGGTGGCGGTGAGGGGAATCACAGTACTGAAATCTTTGAGAAGGTTAGGGCCTTGCAGACTTGAAAACAGGCCCACGGTGCTTAAAACTCCTTTACGTGGGCTTGCATCCGTTGTTAACCGTACACGGGCCCGTCCATTTAGTAGAACTTAAGCCGGCTACAAAACACATCCTCCAGGGTTGAGAATGCTAGCAAGCTTTGACTTTATGCCAAAACCGAGGCGGCTTTTCCTGGGGCCGGAGAACTGAGTGGTGCCACTCCCAATGAGTCCCTGCTGCTCTTGGGCGGGAAGCGGTCAGTCTGGCATTTTTCAACGCACGGTGATAACCCAGAAGGAACCCGCCGCTGACTGGCAGGTCAGTCTGCGTGGGCCATGAAATCGGTACTCAAGCCTATTCCCGGAAGTGCTGACTGGCTATGACAAAGGAGTGTAGGAAGAGGTCCTTCAGAGGGGAGCACATCGTAGCAGGCTTCAGCGTCTGTAAAGGCTTTGGGGATTTGTTTATATATAATTTTTTTTTAAGAAAAGAAGAAATCTATATATTGTTCCCTCTACCCTTGTGTGTGGTTAATTTTTTTCCTCTCTGTGGCGGGATCAGATTTGCCCCCTGCCTTGTCTGTATCTATCGCTGTTGTGAAACATAAAATACGTCTGGTAACATACAGGACAGTCTCTGTGTGTCTTTCCCCCACACACACACAAAAAAAGGTTTACCGAATGATAAGGGACAAGTTGAGCAAGCCGTTTCAAGGTGGAGGGGGGCAGGTTGAGAGTAATGGGTCTGGGTCATGACCCATTAAAGAATTGGCCCATAAAACCCCAAAACTTCGCAACCAGCCACACGGGAAAATTTGGATTAGCATTTTTGGGGATGTCATTTTAGATGTGCGCTAAACAGCTTCTCATATTTACACTTCAGACACTTCTTTCATAACTATGATGACCCCTTTAAATTATTTCCAGAGGGGGTCTCTATTTCGGGGGGGGGGACAACAGCCAAGAATGTAGCTGTACTTTAAAAGACTTCTTTGTTATGGTACCAGCTTTTGTAGACTACAGTACATCAGTGTTATCCTGGCCTGCTGGCACACACACTGTTTTTTGGGCAGGTGTGGATTGGGAATGGCGAGGGAGTGAAATGAAATGCAGAACGTACATTTAGATAGTGATCATTCGCAGAATCTTTGATAACACAGCCATCTTAGCATTGGCAAGCCAATTAAGCCATGGGCGTGTGATAAGAATCGGTTATCCTGGTTCAATCTGCAATTGATAGCGTTTACCCTTAGTTTCCATGAATTACAATTGAGCAGTTCACATTCGTGATTTCAAGTTGTTGCCGGCTAAGGACGCTCTGTCTCGTGGCTAAATTCAGCATTTCTGAACAGGTACATGTGCTGTGAAAACAAACGATCAGAGTGTCAGTCTTGCAGTTTTTAATAGCTTGGAAGAAGACC